CAAGTTTACATCATATTCTTATGCACACAGTGCTGTGTGTGAGGTAATTTAAGGTGGTTCTGACAAGTGTCGTTGGCATCTTCATATCCGGTCACATGGGCGGCAAGCCACTCCCATCCGGTTACATGGGCAGCAAGCCACTCCCACAATGGAGGCCACACCCACAGAGTAGGTTCGAACAATTTTTGAAACCCATCACTGAGTGAAAGGCTCCTTTACCCAAATGATAAAGCTAGAAATGATGTTGGTTGCTATTTTCATGTTGGAAAAATGTTAATGGCGTATTGACATGTGCATGAAAAAGAATCAGGATCAGATAAAAGGATGTTCCCATAAAAATAAGCTTTAAGTGTTAAATATAAGACAATATATGTGGGCACATGCATAATGTTATATTTATTTATTTATTTATTTATTTATCCATTTATATTGTCATGTTTATGTTTATATTAGAGGTGGAGATGCTTTGAGAGCTGTAGGAAATGTAATTTCATTTTAATATATGCGGATTAGTGTACATTCAAAATGACAATGAATTATTCTATTGTGCTCTGTTCTGTTCGATTCTATTCTCCCCCAATGGCAATGGAATATAAGGTTTATAAAGTTATTAAATAGATGATAGATAGATGATAAACAGATAGATAGATAGAAAAATAGAAAGGTAAGCAAAAAAAAAAATGCTGTAGAATGTTTCACTTTCTCTAAATAGTGCTAACACACCATGCCTTAAAAATGTAGATGATGCCTGTATTGTGAAAGACGACAGCAAACATTAGTCATTTGGTGGCAATTTACAGTCCAGGGATGAGAGCTGTGGGTCCAGTCTAAACAATAAAAACATTATTTCATAAAGGAAGAAACAAGCAATTAGTTGGAGCCAATTTCCTTCTGCAAGATCCTAGCTGACCAATAATAAAATAGAAAATAGTGTCTAGACACATGGAAATGACAATGCTTAAATGTTTTACCGCTGGAGCATTTAGTAACAACAGAAGTATTTTTCTTGAGAGTTCAAAATGGGACATTTAGAAAACAAAATGAAGGGCAAGCCACCGCTAAACCTCCAGTCTGCCTGTGTATTTATGCTGATTTTACGATGCTATCTTAAAATCTAATTACTAGGATGAAAGGCTGGGGGCTCCCAATTGAATTAGGCTTGTGATGGATTTCATCTTCCCAGGTGGGAACTCTTGCAACACTCACAATCAGAAATCTCTCGTTTCCAGAATGACAGAATTTCCTTTGGGCCTAATCAGGGGGAAATGGTTTTAAAATGGGGTCTTCCAAGAATTATTTTGACATAGACCACTTATCTTAACCTAATTTGTTGTATTTGAAAGAAAAAAAACCTTGTTTGTTTCATCTTATGGAAATGCATTTACTTATTGAATTCAATTTGGGCAGCTCAAAAATCTGGATGATTTGAAAACAACATAACAAGTAGCAACAAGCGAGCCACGGAAAGAACAGAAGAGAGAGGAAGATAGGAGCAAGCAAACTCATCAAACATTTCACTACTTCATATCCAGTAGTTGTGCTCCAGACAGGCAAGTCTAGGAAGACAGTCAGGTCTTTATGGCCTTCAGAAGGCCAACAAGGCAGGTGTTTCTTGGTCATCATAGATGACACTGTTTAACTGAAGGAACCTGGAATGTACTAATCCTATCAGCTCAAGACAACCAGGCAGATATCAAAGGAAATAAGTGATCCCTCAAAAAACCAGGCCCTAGACTTGTAGGCAGATGTGGGTTCCTACCAGTTTGCACCTATTCGGTAGAACGAGTTCGTCAAATCTACCAAACCGGTTAGAAGAGGTTCCACCAGTGGACCCGGAAAGCAGGCCACACCTACAGAAGAGGTTCCAAAATTTTTTGAAATCCACCACTGGTCCTTGGATATGATTATTCTACACTATCATGCTCGTATTTATAAAACTCGGTGCCTCTGTGAAAGGTGAGGATGACTACTGCGTTTGTGGTGCAATCAGAACATTGCGTGTGTTGAAGTTGTTTTAACGCAAACCAAAGATGCCTTTTAAAAAACAAGTTTACATCCTATTCTTATGCATGCCAGTGCTGTGTGTGAGGTAATTTAAGGTGGTTCTGACAAGTGCCGTCGGCATCTTCATATCCGGTCACATGGGCGGCAAGCCACTCCCATCCGGTCACATGGGCAGCAAGCCACTCCCACAAAGGAGGCCACACCCACAGAGTAGGTTCCAACATTTTTTGAAACCCAGCACTGAACTCTACACTCAATGTCCCAATACCATGCAGCTTTTGGCCTTAGAAAATTAAAAGGCTGGTATACTCATCTTCCTGGGGTTGCCCATATGACTTCAAAGTCTGAAAAAGAAGCACAAGAAACTGCAATTTGCCTGGGTCTCCATGAAATCAAGAGCCATCCTTCCAGGAAGAATTACTTCTAATTTTAGTATCTCTTAGGGTTGTTTCCAAGGAGAAGTCCAAATATGGAGACTGAACATGAAGGCAATGATTGGCTTTTCCTTCATTTCCTTTGGGTCTCAAAGGAAATCATAAACTGCTAAGCAGATATATGCCTAGGTGTGTAAGAAGGAGTATAAATTTCTAGTTTTGAATCACAGGAAGTTGTACAGCATGTGCCTAAATAATACATATGTCCTCCTGAGTTTTCTGAAATCCCAGAGACAGAGTGAAAGGATCTATACAAAAAGTGCCTGTTCTGTATTCACAAATTGTAGTTAGGTGACGCTGATGTTCTTGGCAAGAAGATTATTGCTAGATTATTACTCACATTCCCCACTCCTGTCCCACAACTGTTTGCAAACAACAGAGCAACATTTGCTTACAATATTATTATATTACAATCTGCAATATAGGAAGTCTTTAGAGGGGGGGGGAAACTCTGCTAGCATCGCCAGATATTAAAACTGAACACTCGGTATCGCTGCTCAAGTAGTAATACAAATTCATCCATACCTTTTACAGCCTAAATAGGTTTATCTATGCCTATAGCAATAGCAATAGCAGTTAGACTTATATACCGCTTCATAGGGCTTTCAGCCCTCTCTAAGCGGTTTACAGAGTCAGCATATCACCCCCACAGTCTGGGTCCTCATTTCACCCACCTCGGAAGGATGGAAGGCTGAGTCAACCTTGAGCCGGTGAGATTTGAACCACTGAACTGCAGATAACAGTCAGCTGAAGTGGCCTGCAGTACTGCACCCTAACCACTGCACCACCTCGGCTCTCTATGCATGTGAGCATGGCTATCCTACACATATAGATTGGTAACTTATTTTGTCATCTATTTTTTTAATCTTCAGAGGAATAATCGCCTTTATATGAATTGCCAGCTGCCCAGGAAATCTGATTGCCTCTTCCTGCTGCTTCTGAATGGCTGCTTGGCCAAGATGGATGGATCTGAAGAACCAGCTTTGTTCAGTTCCTTTCTGGAGAATTCTGATATTAAAAGATCTTTTCGAAACGGAGTTGGATCAGGAATTAAAAAAAATATCCTTTCGAAGAGCCAAGTCATAAACAGCTGCCTAAAGAAATACTCACAAAGCAGAATCTATAAAGTTAAAATGGATGTGCTTAAAATTGTTTGTGGTGCATGAATGAATCCAATAAAACAAATGTATCAGTTTGTTCATAATGAAAGCAGATGTTTACTTGAAATGGTGCAAGCCAAACGTGGTAATTCAAAACATTTCTAAGTTAGAATATCGTACAATTTTGCATTTATGTAAAAGTGATTTTCAGCTTAATTCCGCCTGTTACAAATTTTATATTTACTCCAAAATTGAGGCCTTCAGGATCTCAAGATGAGATAAACTTCATCTGATCCTCTAATTTCATTTCTGCAACAGTTCTATGAAGTTCTTATGTCCTGAAAGATAATAAAGGGACTTACAGTGAAGTTTGTGAAGATAGTTTTTCCAACCATAAATGGATCTATATGGGATAGAAAATACAAAGTGAAGGAAGTGAGTTTCCAAAAACTAAGTTTACTATAGTAATAAGGAATAAAATGATTATGGACCATTCAGTTAGAACACTGATACGCGTAGTAAATGTGTCCTCAAAAGTATTTCATGGAATTTATGAATTTTAACAAATAAGTTTTGATTTTTATTTACAAACATTCTGTTGTAGGATAGAAATGATTCTATTTTTTTCTCCTTTAGGTCTTTTTTGTGGGGGGGGAGGGGGGCAGTATAAAAAGAGACCTGGTTAGCTGTAAACTCTATAAACATTGTAGATTTTGTCAACAAGGAAAGGTCATCTGCTGAAATACATTATTAGTGTGACTTTTACCTTGTGGCCATTTCCTTAGAGAAACGATATAACAAACTCAGCATGCTTGCATAGAGACGTTATGAAATCATTTATTTGATGTGGGATTCTTTGATACAAAAAAATATGGAATAATTACAATACTTACTTTAAACGTAAACAAAATGAAATGTTATTGGTAAAAATATGTGGACGTTGAAAAATAACATTCATTCATTTGGAATACAATAAAAGAATCAGTATAATCCATCAATGTTTTATATGTATAAAGACAGTGCACGTGTTTCTGGACATTTTTTTTNAGAACCTGCTGAATACCACCTCCGGTGTCTTCCCTTTGGAATTTAATGAATGTATGGGAATCCAGGTATGACATGAGAAAGTATTTGGCAGTAGCTAACAGGACATTTGCATAGGACATTCATTGATTAGTTCACGGTTAAATGTGTAATAGCATCATCTTCCATCCATGAAAAATACTTTTTTCTCCTTTGAAAGAAATATTGCAAACAAATTCTCTTCTGTGTATTGACTGAGAATTGGGGAAAAACAGGACATTTTGTTTTGCATAGCACTATTCAAGGATCAGATCTCGTCTCAAGAAAAACAAAAGTGTTGGCTGCTTTGACAATTAAGCCATGAAACAGCCTTTATTTTTTTTAGAAAATTAAGTTTTTCCTATGTGCTATTCCAAGTTTTGTATACACTTGGTTGCTAGTAGCCCACAACTCCAATAAAGTAAACTAAAACTGCTTTTCCCTATTTCAGAAGCACAACTTTGGAGTTTTTTAGTGTGTGTGTGTGTGTGTGTGTGTGTGTGAGAGAGAGAGATTTTACATCATTTTTAAATCTAATACTGTCAGCAGTGGAAACAAATGAACCTTCCAAGCAGTTTTGAATTTGTGCAGCCAAGCTGTTTAATTACTATTATTTTAAACAAAAGAAATTGGGAATTGAACTTGGCACGATGGTGGCTTTAATATTTTTCTACTTAAATTCTTGGTAACTTTTCAATTTCTGATTTACTGACATTCAGTAATTCATAAACCCCTGTCCAAATTTTCATTATGACAAATGTTTGCTCATACGAGATTACGAACTCTTATACAAATGCAGCTATTTTGTAGATGAAAGATAAACATTTTTTAAAAGTTAAAATGGGTTCGGGGGATTTAAATGCATTATATAAGCATCTGCAAGAAAGAGGGAGGGAGGAAGCGAGAGAACTTTGCAACCAATTTGAACGTACAGTAAACTAAAACAGTTTTCAAAAGGAAATTGGAAATGACATGTGTTTAAATTACTACCGGTTTAATATATGTTGTAAGCAATTATGGGCAACTGCTTATCTGAAAGAGAGTTTCTTTCTTAAGGTCATTCAACAGATAGCTTCTGATTATTCAAGATCATTTATACTTGAGTCTTAGTATGGTTTCTGGTCTCCCTTTATGTATGGATGAAGCGTTCTCACTTCATCAAGATCTTGGATTTGCTGGGATTTTGCCCCCTGTTTTCTTTTCAGGCTTATATAAAAAAAGAAAGCATGAAAGAACATCTCTTATTCTTAGTCTCCCATAGTAAATTTTCTGCATTGGAAGTTTGTAACCGAAGAACTAAATGTACGAACTCTGCTCTGAATCAACATGTTGATTCAACATTTAATCAACATTACAACCATTTGTCTGAAATGGATACAGGGTTTCCTGCTTGAGCAGAGGGTTGGACTAGAAGACCTCCAAGCTCCCTTCCAACGCTATTATTTTGTTATGTTATTATTTCAATTATTGTCAGGATTGTGAGGTAGTCCAGATAAGTAGTACACCTGGAAAGTACTAGCTTTACTTCATTGACAGAATCTTACCAGTCTGAAAATATATTTTCCCCTCTTGTCTTTAAAGTCCCCAAAAAACTACTGCTTTTTGACTTACTTCCTTGTTTTTTTTAAATTATTTTGATTATCATTTCTGTTTTCTTGGCTGTTTGCTATCCTATCCAATTTTGTATAATGTGTATAATTAAAAATAAAGAAACTGAATCTATTTACTTTACTAAATACACAACTCCAGTTTAATGAGGAATCGCTGAAAAACATTGTTTGAATACAATTGTTATGATTGCTATGCATCCACGTACTTGTCAAGCCATCTAGATCACATTTAATGAGACACTAATCAGAATGTAGTGAAGTACTTCGTCGAATACTTTACTGCAATCAAGATATATTATGTCTCCAGCATTCCTACAATCTATTAAATAATGAGAAAATGTTAGTCCAGCTCAACTTATTTCATGTTCTCTTCTATAATTATAATATTATTTTCAAGGTAGTCCCATATCAATCTCTTTGGGTTCTGCTGTTTTATGATTGATTGCATAGTCAAGCCAGATGTTTAGACTGGATTTGGCCCTTCTGACAACCCAGAGATCTAGTTGTTTGATGGTATTGAAGCTATTGTCACAAGACTGTAAAAAGTTCTAAGCAAAGTTACCTTTTGCAATTGACTGATGGTAATTTTGTCAATGCCCATGGTGTTCAAATGGTGCTCTAGATGTTTCGGGCACCCAAAGCACCTATTATTTTTGCTTTCTTATGCACAGTTATTCTGTTTGCTGGTCTTTGCATTTTGTAATTTTCTCCAGTTCTTTCTGCTGTCTTCAGATATTGCAACATATGCTATCCAGACTTTTTTTTGGTCTTTCTTATTGATAATGGTTAAGTCTAGACCAGTGTTTCTCAACCTTGGCAACTTGAAGATGTCTGG